TAGGGAAGATTGACAACTGGGGAGAGGAGGGGATTAGGGATGGGGGGGTGAACAGATATTGAACAAATATTAAATGAAAGAAAAACACACCACCGCACCCCCCGCCAGTCTTGTCGGGGAGCCCAGGAATAAATCCATCTTGTTCTACACCAAGACCTGTGTCATCGCTGTCTGTCCCTGCGCCAGACCTGCCGTTAGCTGGGAATTGCAGAGCTCACAGGGGGACGGTCGCGCCCCTGCCGCAGCCGCCCAGCACGCCCCACACAGCGCGCTGCAACACTCCTGGTTAGGTGGAGAAGTCCGAGCTGAGCACAAAGGTGCAGATGGAACAGCCATGCACAGGAAGGCTCGGTGGGAAGGATGATGCAGGACCCATAGGCCTGGCAGCCTGAGCTTGCTCCAGGGGAAGGCCTTGGAGCAGATCCTTCTGACTGCCATCCCATGGGATGTGCAGGGAACCAGGGCGTCTGTAGGAGGGTGGGAAAGCTCTGCAGAGGGACGGGGACAGCTGGGGCTCCTGCAGGGTGTTGAGGGCTTTTGTGTGGGAGCTTGGGAGGGTTGGTGTTGGTGGGGTGTTGGGGAAGCTTTCCTGAACTGAGGATTCTTACTTGCCAGATTCTTCTGTGCCTTCACTGCTAAGGTGTTTTTGTGCTGAAGGCAATAACTTCAATGAGAAAATAATTTCAGCATGGAGTAAGAGCTTCTGACAGAGACCAAGTGTTGCCAGCAGTTGCTCCAGGTGTTCCTGACAACAGCCCCTGCAGGCAGGAGCACAGCCCCCAGTGCACCTGGGCTTTGGCTCCCTCTGGCAGAGAAGCCCTTTTGGGGCACAGGTCTCTGGGGCAGGAGATGGGCACCAGCCCTGCCAGGGCTCGGGGCTGGCAGGTCTGCTTGGGCAGGGACTCTGCCTCACCTGCTGGTGTCAGTGCTCCCCGGGCCCCAGGGCTCAGAGCAGCATTCCTGCCCTGGCCCACATGTTCCTTGTCCGTGTCACACCCGCAGGTTTGGGATGGCCATGAGCCGGGATGTGTACCGAGGAGGCCGTGCCAGCTTCTGTGGAAGGCCCTGTGCCCTTCCCAGCGCAGCTGCGTCGGCAGCCCTGGGGGCTCCTTCTGCTGCCCTGAGCCCGCAGAGCAGGGCAGTGTTTGCTGATGGTTTGAGCCGTTCCTAAAGACTCTGTCAGCCTGTCTTTGACACTTGGGGTGAGGGATTCCTTCCAACCTGAGCCACTTTTGGTGGGCTGGGCTTGGCCCCAGGGCAGGAGGCAGCGTGTGCAGGGGCCCTTTGTGACACGCTGCAGCATGGTCACTATGGCATGGAACAGCATGTCAAAGGGCCCTTTGTGACACGTGGTGACATAGGAGCTGGTGGTGACAAGGCCACGCCACAGTGCTCCGAGCACCTGACAGGACAGGACGGGACAGAGCAGTGCTGTGAGGAGCCCCCGCACAGCGCACTCGTTCGTGTCTGACCCAGAGCTTTTCTGAGGCGTTATTCCTGCAGCTGACCTCGAGGCCAGACCACAGGACTTGCTGACCCGTGGCCTTCCCGAGACTTCTCTTCTGCAGGTGCCCTCGAGGGCAGAGCGTGGGACTTGGTGCCCTGGAGGCATCTCCCATCCCTGCCGCCAGTGCCCTTGAGGCCAGAGCACAATCCTTGACAGGAGTCTCCCATGCTTGTGGCAGGAGCCCTCAAGACCAGAGTGCAGGACTTGCTGTCCTGAGCCTTCCTGAGGCTTCTCTCTTGAAGGTGCCTTCCAGGCACAACTGCAGGACTTGCTGACTCAGAGCTTTTCCAAGGCATCTCTCCTGCAAGTAGCCACAAATCCAGCCACTGACATGGAGCAGAGACCTCCAAGAGTGCCCAAGCTGGCCTGGGTACAGGAAGAGGAACAAGGCCCTGGACCTGCTCCTGCACACGAGACTGAAGAAGTGGTACCATCCAAACAGCTGCAGGAGGGTGAGTGGCAGAGCTGGGCTGCTGGGATGCAGGGCTGGTGGCTGCAGCCAGCTTGGCCGCATCCCATCCCATCCCATCCCATCCCATCCCATCCCATCCCATCCCATCCCATCCCATCCCATCCCATCCCATCCCATCCCCTGGGGCCATGCCCATGGACAGGATGGAGTAGGGGCCAGACAGACACCCCACAGCCGTGCTCCGTGCCCTGGGCCATCCCGGGGCTGTCCCTGCCTGGGCAGCGCAGGGCTGGGCTGTGTTCTCCGGCCTCTCCCGCAGCCCCTCAGCTCGGGCTGCGCTCGCTCTTTGCCAGGTGCAGCCGTGCAGCGCACACGAGAGCAGGAACGCAGCCGTGGCCGCTTCCGCAGAACAGCACAGGTACCTGCAGCCATCCCCACCTGGGCTGGGCCTGCTGGCACTGCTCAGCCAAGCACCATGCTTGGAGCATTTCATGGAACATCCCTGGCTTCCCGCCCTTCTCCTACAGCTCGTTTGCAAATTCATCAAGAGGATTCGGGAGGAAGAGACTGCCATGGGCACAGGACTCAGAGCATATGAACCCATCTTCAAAACCAAGACCTCTGCTGCCCTGGCTGATATGCTGGTAGAGGAGGGGTTTTCCAATCCAAAGCAAGTAAGCAGCCTGTGGCCAGGGTTTGATCCTCCCAGGAATTGCTTGGCCTCCCAAGCCATGCCTGCTGCTCCCTGGGAGCCTTTGAGGCCATGGCAGTGTGGTGGCAAGGGAAGCACTTCTCTGGGGCAGCTGGGCACTTTCCTCCCTCTGGCGGCTTTCCAAGTCTCCCCTGCCTTCTCCAGGTGCCGGCCATGGTGAGGTACATCCACCAGTGGCTCGAGGCCAACCAGTTTGCTGAGCACAGGCTGAACAGGACCCTGCTGGATCTCACCGAAGAACGGCCCGCTGACGTAGTAATGACGCTTCTGCGTGTGGCCCCATTGTGTGACAGGTACGGGGCCCACCTGCCCAGGGGGCTCAGGGCTCCCCAGCCCATCAGCCTGCACAGCCTGTCCCAGGTGTCTGACCAACAGAGAGAGTCCCAGGGCCCTCTGGCTGCTCCCTTTGCCAGCCCTGGCACATCAGCCCCCGAGCCTGCTGCCATGCTCCTTCACTGCCCCCCAGGGGCCTGTCCCCACAGGGCTGGGCTGCCTGAGTTCTGCTGGTGAGGGGCAGTGGGCAGAGGCAGAGCTGGCAGCCAGCTCAGGTCCCCACTGCTGCCCAGGCCACGGTGCTGTGTCTCAGACCCCCCTGAGACAGAGCTCTGACCCCACAGAGCTGCTCTGGCCATGTGGAAGAGCATCATGTGCTCGCTGAGGACTGCAGAGCCGGCCATGCTCGTACTCCTGGATGTGCTGGGGAGCTGGCCAGAGCACAGCACGTGCACCTCCAATGGGGACAAAACGGCTGTCCTTACCCTGGCTGTGAGTTTCTGCCTTTGCTGGCCCCAAGGCCACCTCTCCAGCAGCTCTCCATCCTCCCTCCCCCACGGCATCTCCCTGCCTCAGGCACTGGCCTGAAACCTGGCCTCGGGACAGCTCCAGGGCCACCAGGCCCGGTGCTCCCCCTGCGTCTCTCCGGGCCTCTCCCTCCCGTGCTTGGGCCCTGCCACACGGACACCTCGGCACTGAGCGCTGTCTCAGGCTGCTCTGTCCTTTGCAGGCAACCGTGGTGATGTGGAAGCTCCTCCAGCTGCCCTGTGTCCCACATATGGTGACCGTCTATCTCCCCCACCTATTTGTGCATCTGCTCTTCCAAGTGTTCTTCAGCACTCTGGATATGCCAGAGGAGGTCGATACCTTCTGGAAGGGATGCCAGCAGCAATATGGCCTTGCCACCAGCCCCAACAGGTGCTCCATCCCAGTCCTCCTGTCCTTGCCACATCCCTGGGCAGGAACCAGTGCTCCCAGCATGACCTGCATTTTGCTCTGCACACAGGTTTGCAGTGCAGACCCTGAAGTCCCTGCTCTGCGAAATGCAGCATGAAGATGCGGTGGTGGCAATGGAACACAAGTGTGGCTGGGACAAGTTGATGTGTGCTGACACCAACCACCATGCCATGGGTCTGCTGGCCAAGTGAGACCCCCCTTCTCCCCGCTGCCTCTGACATTTGTGCTCTGTGCCTGGGGTGCCCCGTACAGTCCCTGTGGCCATGGGCCAGAGGGCCTTGTCACCGAGGCACAGCCAAGCAGACTGGAAAAGCTGGGAGAGGAGGGTGCCCACAAGGTGCCACTTCCCAAATAGCCCAGAGGCCCTTGCAGGGTGCTGGGGAAAGACCAGACCTCTGTGAGTCAGTCCTGGGAGAGGTTTATCCCCCTGGCCCACAGTCTTGGTTACTTTGTCTCCTGCCAGGGAGATGTCCTGTGTCTCCATCCCCTTGTGCTCCCGGATCACTCGCTACCTGCTTCGGCTGCTCAGCGCACAGGAGCCACGCTGGGAGCTGCCCACCCTGGCGTTCTTTGTGGAGGTGAGCCTGAAGGCCAGCACTGCCTCGCTGAGCTGCCTCCCGGCTCTCTGCCCTCTCTTGGCCGCAGTGCCTGGGACGGAGCCCGTGCCCTGTGCTGCTGCCTGGGCTCAGCCCTGTGGGTTCTGGGCTCCTGCTGGCTGGTCCCCCGTCACCGGCCTGTGCCTTTCAGATCCTCAAGTGCCTGGACATGAGTGAACGCGGTGCTGACAGAGTCCTGCAAGTCTTGTCAAGGCACCTGCGGAGCGGGTGCAGGGAGAAGTGTCACCTGGTGCTCAGGGCCCTTCTCGATCTCATCAATGATCCCTTGATGGTGAGAAGGGGGCAGGGGCTGAGGTTGTGCTTGGGAATGCAGTCGCTTGGGTTTGTCTGGGCTTTGGGCACTGGGCCAGCTGCTCCCAGCTCTCCTGCCTCCTGCTTCAGCTGCCCAAGTGCTTCGGAACAGCCCTCTAGGCCCTGCGGCAGCAGGATGGCATTTCACAAACTTGTGTTCCGCACAGAGCAAAAAAATGTGGAGCCTGACTGAAAGTCTTGTGGAGCTCCTGTGGGACGCAGATGGAGAGATAGTTAGCATGACAGCCACGCTCCTCAACTTTATCATCTTGGACAAGGACATGCTGATACCCAGCCCCATCGCACTGCAGCTGGTTGAGGCGCTCCTGCCACTCCTTGACCACGTAAGGCTCCCTGACCCCAGCCATGGCTACTGGCTGCTGCCCGGACACTTTGTGCCCTGTGGATTTGCAAGCACCAAGCTGAGCCCCGTGCAGCCAATGCTGAGGTCTTTTTTCCTTCCCTTCATACAGGACAATAGCCAGGTGAAGCTGCTCTCCATAGTGCTCCTTGGAACACTGGTGAGTCTTCCACAGGAAAAGGAAAAAGAGGCCCTGAAGACACACGTGCACCAGAGCCTGCTGCCACTCTTCTTCCACTGCCATGATGAGAATCAGTGAGTGGCAGAGGTGAGGACTCGTGGGCTGCTGCTTTTCCCCCGGGAGGCGGCTGGGCTGCCTCCTGCTCTAGCGCCTCGCAGGCTGCAGCCTCCTCCAGGCCCTGGCACAGGGACACAGGTCCTGCGCCCTGGGCTCTGGGGCCATCTCCGCATCTCTGCTGCTCTCCAGGCTTCTCAGGAAATGCTGCTTGGTGCAGCCGAGTTCCTGAAGAGGAGTGAACTTCAAAAACTGGTGAAGAGCAAGAAGTGGTGGAAGTTCACCTAGTGGCTGGTAAGGAGGGCCGGGAAGCTGCAGCCCCAGCCTGGAGCAGCCCCTGAGCGCGGTGCTCGGTGTGCGGGCTGGCAGCTGTGCCCCTGCCCGCTGCTGCAGCCCGAGGCCGCGCGGGCTCTGCTCCAGGCTCCTGTGGCCCGAGCCGGGTGCCCATGGAGCCCCGGCCCGGGGGGCTGCGGGG